GTTGGGATTGCAGATTTTCCACGTCGAACCTTCCTTGTGTTTGTTATCGAGCGCTCTATGCTGCACAGAGGAGGATGCGTATAATTATGGCTACAAGGAAGTGGAGTCGATGTTGTGCCCTCGAACCCTCACACTGGAGTCATATCGTCCGTCTATCTCAACATGGTCGATCTGATTGTGAGTTTTTCGATTCAAAGACAGTCGTTTTCTTCAAGACCGACCCCTCGCAGCTGCTGATCTGCCGAACAGACGCGAATATTTGGTCCTGAAAAGTATAAAGACTTTGCCATGGGCGAAAACAGCTCTTTTTTCAGTTCTATTTGCGGTCGCCCCAGTTGACAATGTGAAGCGGTCTGGCTGTATTTCTAACTGGAAAATTAAGGCTCCTCATTCAGAGGCGACTTAAAGTAGAATTAGGTCTCTCCATTTTTTGGGAAAACAATTATAAGCATATATATAATTGTATGTATATATATATATGTATATATATTGTACATATGTATATGTATTTGAATTGGAATTGAGAAAAAAAATATATCTGCGAACATGAAAACTTTGCCGCATCATCTGTGTAGCATTGAAAAAAATATGTACGAGGAACTAGCTTCCTTCAGTCCTGAGCTCCGCTCAAAATTTGTATTTATTTTTTGGTTTCAATTTCAAATGTTACAGCAATTTATGCATAATTGTCATTGGAGGAGCGTTTTCACACCAAAAGAATATGAAGTACTTCATACACACTTGCTTATGTACATATAGTTTATACACACACATACATATATGTGCATATGCGCACGAGTAAAGTTCAAATTTTCGCACGCGACAAGATTAATGAGGCAACAACATCTTAAAGTGTTAAATATGCAAACAACTACATACCAGGCATTGCATTGTTTGTGTCCTCACACAGTCACACGTACATACTCGTATGTGTTTATGTATGCCTGCTAAACCTGGTTGACCCAAGGGTGAAGGGAGCATACTGTTTGTATGCACAGATCCGTACGTACGTGTATGTTGCAATATTGTTTATTGTTGTTGTTGTTATAATTATTATTGGTATTGCAAGTTGATGTTGGTGTGGCTCGTGAAGTAATCCATTTTATTTGTTTTTTAGCCGCGCCGCACTGACAGCTGCCACTGTGGATACTCATTAAGTTGAGCTGCCGTGGAATTTGCGGTCTTCCGGTGCGGTCGCGCACGGCGCAGCCAACCACTTTCACTCTTCCAGCCACAGCCAACAGCAATGCAAACAAACGCATCAACAACAACAACAATATTACAACAACCATGCGAGAGCATATTTATCCGATGTTGCATGTTGTGCAGCTGCCCCATGCCACATGCCACATGCCGCAAACAACTGCAGCCCGCATGATTTTAGCATTTGGATTTTCGCATCGCCCATAGTATTAGAAGCGTCGCCCGCTTGCAAGATGTAACTCAACGCATCGACCAGATCTGTGCACGCATAGATGCTCGGGATGTATATTTAGAAACCGAGTCCCTGTCAACACACCACGTCCACGGCGTCCATCACCGTACCAATGAATGAATGAATGAACTTGCCGAAGAGTACTTTTCAGCGTGTTGTTGTTGGTGCGGCATGCACTGCAGGCGTTGAGCAAGCAACGTGGATACTTGTTTTGCTGCCTCGTAGTCCAAAGCATTTTTATTTTTGGCACAAATTCGCGCAATGGATGAATTAAGCGCAGCTGCAAGTACAGGGTGTTAGTATCGGTATTTGGCATTTAAAATGTTTATAACCATTTTAAATTGATAGTGGAATGACTTGTACTGACTTGTTGCCTCCTCCTCCTCCAAAAATATAAATTTAAAAAATGTAATTCATAGTTTAATGATTTCTCGCTTGCATATATGGTGACGCCTGTGAGAATTCAAAGCACATGGCCAGCAGCCTAATCCCCTTATCTCTCCATATAAAATCATACTGGATGTTAGCCAAAATAAAGTGCACACGAGCACATGTGGCATGCGGCATGTCGCATCCATGAATGCAAGTGGCGGTGGCAGCGCCAGTGCAACACTAAATTACAGATGCACTCAATTGACAGGATTTTCCGGTGAGTTCATGTCACGGCTGACAAAAATAGTTGAGCACCACATCCAACAGCAACAAAAACGAGCGACAATAAGAACCACACGCTTAATATATGTATGTATGTATGCTGTGTGTATGTGCTCCTTCAATATGAGGGATCAAAGCAAATATTTTTGCTCACATTTCTTGCATGTCATAAAAGTGTGTGGCAAGAAATTCACAAGGCAATTAAGCACTCGTACAACATGACGCAGCTAGAACTCATTCCACTGAGCCTATCGAAACATGGGCCGGATTATGGGTGGCAGCATTCAATTACAAATTTACTTGTGGTCTTGCTTCGCTTTTCTCAAACAACCAAATAACATTGAAATAAGTAAGGAAATAAATAAATAAAATTAAGATTATTAAAATGATATAAAAAATTAAATTAAAAAAATTGAAAAATAATTAAATATGATTTAATGATATAAAATATAGGATAAATAATTTTATTATAAATTAAAATAAAAAAGAGAAAAGCATAATAAAATGGAATGGAATGCAAAAAAAAATAAAATTAAATTAAATTGAAATAAATTAAACAATGTAAAATAAAAAGAATTAAATAGAGTAATATTAGGTCAAGTAAAAAGTTCGTTCGGTTTGCGGTATAAGAGATAGCGTTATTGTTCATAGTACCAGTGCTACGTGTCGCATCATGTCATACTATACAGCGCTGAAAACGTGTTTATTTGGGCTAAAAGTTTGTCTTCGACAGTTTTTCGATTGATTGACTCTGTACGTTGTGAGCGCTCGTCAAAGATGGACACCAGCAAAGGGAAAATTCGCTATGTTTTATAATTTTTCTTCGATCAAGCCGAAAAAGCAGCCAAAGCGACTGAAGAAATTAATTAAGTTTATAGGCCCGATACTGTAAACGAACGTGTAGCACAAAAGTGTTTTGCTAGGTTCCGTTCGATGTCAAAGATGCACCACGCATAATTGCTGAGGAACTAAATATAAGCCAGAAAACCGTTTGGAACTATTTGCATAACCTTGGATCCAAAAGGAAGCTCGATGTTTGGGTGTCACACGAACTAACGCAAAAAACATGATAGACCGAATTTCCATCTGCAAAAAATTGGACCCGTTTCAGAAGCGGTTTGCGACTGCCGATTAAAAATGGGTCACTTAAAATAACAGCGAGCGCAAACGATCGTGGTCAAAGCTCAGGGAAGTGGCCAAAGCTCAGGGAAGCGGCCAAGAGCGGATTGACGGCCATCAATTTGGCCCTCTACTGCCAACAAATGGACCGCGTGAAGGCAGCATTCATCCAGAAGAGGCCATCTTTGATCAACAGAGGCCGAATTGTATACCATTAGGACAACGCCGGGCCACACACGTCGTGACGCGCCTGAAGCCCCAGGAGCTCGGATAGGAGGCTCTAATGCACCTACCTTATGGTCCGGACCTGGCACCAAGTGGTTACCATCTTTTCCTGTGCATGGCGAACGCACATAATGGTGAGAAGATGGCCTCAAGAGAAGCCTTTGAAAATTGGCTCTCCGAGGTTTTTGCCAATAGGGACGCAGCCTTCCAGATATTGGTATAATGAAGTTAGCATCTCGTTGACAACAAGTTTACGAACAAAACGGTGCATATTTGTCTTAAATCAGATAAATGTAAATTAAGTTAAATAAAGTATATAAAAATAAAAATAAAAATAAAAATAAAAATATAAATAAAAATAAAAATAAAAATAAAAAATAAAATAATAAAAGAAATAAAAATAAAAATAAAAATAAAAATAATAACAGAAATAAAAATAAAAATAAAAATAAAAATAATAACAGAAATAAAAATAAAAATAAAAATAAAAATAAAAATAAAAATAAAAATTAAAATTAAAATAGAAATGGAAATAAAAATAAATGTAAAAATCAAAATAAAAATAAAAACAAAATAACATAAGAAAGAAAAAGGAATTAAAAAATAAAAATAAAAATAAAAATAAAAATAGAAATAAAATTAAAAATAAAAATAGAAATAAAAATAATAATAAAAAAAAACTAGAATAAGGGATTAATGTAAAATAAAATAGATAGGTAAATATAATATAATAAACAAAAGGAAAATAGGGATAGGCCTTAATTTACAAATTCAAAAGTTGCTCTGCTCTTTTATTAATTATTTTAATTTAATTTTTCCCAGTGTGGCACGCGTCGTAATAAGCGATAGATCAAGGAAGGGGGAATTCATGTTTGTACAACGTAACAAAAACGTATATGTGCCTTAACTGGTAAATAAATTCATATGTAAGTGTATATATATATATATGCATACAAACACATTTATGTATGCACGAGTATGTATGGGCGTATTAGAATCTTTTGTATCGCTTCTTGCACTTGCTAGTGGTTGAACAAGTGGTTTTGCGTGAATATAACAAGCATTTACACTTTGCTCAACAAATTTCACCGAAATCAGCTGGCTGTACTACAACGATAACTACAAGAAACAACCAGCAGGTACCCAAGTGTGTGTGCAGGTATGTAAAACTTACTACTGAATGTTTGACCACAAGCCAACAACAGCAATTCCCGTATAATATTAAACAATACAAGCGCTCATTTGAAATGACAGACAGACAGAAATGTTTTAACACTACCACGAAGAATGTCTTACACAAATTTCAAATGTTTCTTGCTCACATAATTTGAAAATAGTCACATCGGACTGAAGAGTTCAAAAAATGTCAGTAAAAATTCATGAAAGTGCAGTCAATGTCCACTGCCGACACCGTTGAGAACCACCCCTTAGTTTTTACATGCAACCCTGTGTTTGGCCACAATAAACCGTCACTTAGCAACGCACTATTCTTACCGTTCCACTTGCGCCATATAAACAACTTTCCCAGAAAACAATGAATCGTCAGCCGAAAACAAGGTTTCAGGCATTCTACTCCAGTTTGAGTTTAAAGCAAAGCAATTAATAAACGAAATGCACTACGTGGCTTGAACCGAGACACGGCATTGTCGAAGACCAACATTAATGGGTGCTGTCCTTCATAAACTTTGCAGTTGCTGCCGAAAAAAGAGGTGAGTCGGCTGTTGATTCTACAACCAAACGAATTAAGTCTTACAATGAGTTGAATTTGAATTTGTCCAACTGCAGAAATAGTATCGGCACACTTCCCGATAGGCGTATCAAGGTTTTGCTGCTCGGAGTTATGGCTAGTGGAAAAACTGAGCTCGGCTACATACTGAGTCGTCAGCAACGAGAGAATTTTGAGCCCACAAACGGCGTCCAGTTCTATCGGATAGAGCTACCCGAGCGATATGTTTCCATCACAGAAGTGGGTGGAAATACCGAAATTCAAAAGATTTGGCATCATTATTTTCTCACAACAATGGGAATTATTTATTGTTTCGACATGTCCACATCATATGAAAAACTGCGAGATTCCTTTGATTGCCTGCGGCGGGCCCTAATGCATCCGTATGTACGAGGTAAGCCGGTACTGCTAGTCGCCACAAAAGCCGATTTGGCGGACGAAGGCATTCAACTGTTCGACATAGAGAACACCTTCCAATTAGAGGCGCTGGCCAAGTATTATCTCAGTAGCGCTCACGTCTGCTACGTCGGCAAGAATATTTGTATGGACAATCTGTGGAATGGCTTTGGCTGGTTCGTTAAATATATTATAGACAACATGGATCAATTGCAGATGAGGCTAAAAACCGATGCCAATTTAGAGGTAAAAATAATGTTGAAACTCATGGCCATTGGAAGTAACTGTGTATAATTTCATATATTTGAAAGGCTTGGCAGGATCAGATCAAAAAATTAGTCTCAGAAGGTCGCATGAAGCGAGGTCGTTATCGCCAGTTCCAGTATCACTTGAAAAACACATCGCGCAGGAAGGTAAATATAAGCAGTTATACATACATAGTAAATAGATACGAAGTCTCCATTTTTTTCAAACCATCCACAGTTGTGGTATCGCTCTTTTGGCCATTTTCGCACAAAACGCATTCGACCCCACACGGCTCCAGCCACAATAAACGCCGCTGCATTCGGGACAAATACTTCAACAACTGAACCTGAAAACTCTCCATCGGAGGCGTGTGTAACTGTTGCCAGTAAAGTGCCAAATTTAAGTGCGAACTCACTGGAAGTGGGTAAAGTGTCCCAGGCGTGAGGACAAAGTGTGGGCAAGAGAAACATTTTCAGCTAGTGAGATATATTTGCCAACACTTTTTTATCATATGTTAACAAGATACCCACTAATAAATAGTTTTCAATTTTGGCGATTTATTCAATACCTGGTGCGTATGTACATTTGTTCACTTAATACACAACTCATTCTTTGTAGACACTGCATTCGATTTCGAAACACATAAGCTCTTTTCCCTGGCCCATCATGACTCTCAACTTGTAGTCCCCATCAGCGCTGCGATCTTGCAAATCATACGATAAGCCGAACAACGAGTCGAAGGATATTGTTAGCTGAAAACAAACGGAACGAAGTGCAAATGGGAGCTCTTCTCTCATCATCAAAATTCGCCCATTAACTTACACCAGGTTGTGGTGGACATTTCCGGTCAGCTTCCGGCACCACATTGGTATATTTATACCACAATTCATTCCCATTGTACAACACCGGGCAGAAATCCGGCCGACGGATGTTATAGATGGTGTCCACCCATTCTCCACGAGATCTCCTGTACACTTGTGCATCAAGCTATGCGACAGTAAAGGAAAGCCAAGAAATTCAAAGCCAAGCAAAATTATCATTCCCTTGACTTACTTGTATGGGTACATCATTCTCGAACTCATGCACCAATTTGACGTCTCCAACAACTTTCACCAGGTCGCCCTCCCGTTCGAAAGACAAGCCCGATATATCGAAAAACTTATCAATATAGTTGTCTGGAAAGTCTTCACAAGGTGTAAACACATCCTCGTTATCTACAACAAAGTCATATTTGACGGCCTGCAAGAAAATCGATTTCAAAAGAGAACTGGGCAAATATGAAAAAAGCACCTCAATTGTGACCGCAAATATGGAGATTAATGCGAAATATGCGAATTGCTGCAGCGACTTTTCTAACATTTCTAAATTGACTATAAGTCTCGAGCGAATTGTCAGGCTTTATATAGGATTTGCATTGTACATCCACATCCACATATACACATGTATGTGAGTATAAAAAAAACTTGTTTTCTGGATTTTTTAATTATCTCTCTCTCATCTACACGGCAATGCATTGTTCTGCTGGCTTGATAAGAACACCGTGGTGGCATGTAAATGGAAAACAAGATGACAAGATACTTCACGAACAATTAATTAATGTTGGAAGCTGCATAGCATGTACATATGTTTCGAAAAATACCTGCGAATGTAGTGAATTTATTTAAATAGAAACCGCGTAGAGTTAACGAAATAATATCGCTTAGGCTTTTAAAAGACCAACCTAGAAATAGTGCGTTTTTGAGCTACGGATACTTGGCACATCCTCTCACGAAGAACTAAAATTCCCAGCGTTGGAAAGCACGAAGGCAGCTCCATCTGCGGGTAGCTTAGAGATAACCACACAGAAAGCTTGCGAAAATTGCTCGCAAAACTTTTTATCTGGTAGCCAACTTGTAAAGCTTTTATACAATTGAACTTCGAATTCCCTGCAAGCTTTATGCTTTTTATAGCGTTCATTAGTATTGCAATCAAAAACTCAGTGCTTTCTTTTTATGGCTTAAACCAATGGAAATTAATTTATTTTGCTTTAAAAAACTTTAGACATATTTTAAAATGAAAAAAGTTTAAAAAATCTGTAAATAGTTGCGGTCTAGTAACAGACAACGGGCAACGGAAGGAAAGGGAATTTAATTATAATGAATTGGGAAGTCTAATATTGAAATAAAAAATATAAATTCACAAAAAAATAGTAAGCAACTGAAGACATTTGTTTTCCTCATTTACTTGAGAATAATTAAAGAATTTTTAAAAATATTCTGTAATTGGCAAGCTTCTGAATGTCTTACCATTGTTTATAACAATATTTTATATGCCGCTTATCGTTTAAAAAAATGCATTTTGAGAAAAACTTGTTCAAAGCTTTTGCCAGTTAGCCATACGAAGTGCGGACCGGCACACTATGTGAAAGGCCTAGAAATTTCATTAAAATCAATTTTGGACACATTCAAAACCTTTTGTTCTTTATTCTGCAAGGTTCAAAGAATTTGTTTAGCAAATTAAAAAAAATCGATTTCTCGAAATATAATATATACAGTGAGGTTACCCCTCAACATAAAATACTGTAAAGGGTTCAAAGCATTCTTCCAATTCAAACCTTATGAGTTTCACTATTACCGTGAGTATTGCTATTGTATTAACATCGCAATTAAATCTCAACGAAATTGCATATTGGGAAAATGCGATCGGATAGATCCGACCAAGTTTTAGTTGACGGCTTGAGTCCTTTTTCGGGTTTTTATCTTATGAAGCACGAGAACCTAAGGAATGTAGGTAAACTGCATGCTTTCAAAGTTTTTTCTTAAATTGAAGGGCATTAATTGGGTAAACAAGTGAACAATCGTCAATCCAAAATTTGTGGTGAACAGGCGATGGTTACTAAGAGTTGTTACTAATTGCTATTGACCAGCAGCCAGCCGAACAAAGCTATTACAACGAAATTACTGATTTTTGACATTTGGAATCGGGGTTCCTGCTGCTCAATTCCAAATTAATGCGAAATCTATTCCGCTCGGATTTCAGAGCAGCACCCATAATGTGAGCAAAAATATATCGCTTTCTCTCCTCTGCGGAGGTCGTTTTTGCTGAGAATGCAGACAAATATTGGCCTATGAATTTACGTTTGTGATTCTGTCTGAATACATCCCAATCCGTTAGAGCGGGTTTCCAATGCAAACAAAACCACTCCCGGTATTTTCAGATGACTAATTAATCAGTCATCGATAGGTTAGTCCTTTTGAAACGAACATACCACTTCGGTCACTTTACCCATATGCTGCTTCATTTCTATATACATATATAAATTACCATATGTAAAATCGCAGAATTGTGTATGTGTGTGTTCATATTAATCTCTCGTGTCCTTCAACTACAAAACAAATGCTCGTGAGAATTCAAAATCAATTTGACACCTGCGCCCAGTGTCAATTGTCAATTACACTTTCGTTGTGTTTTGGACTAATGCTTTTGTTGATGTTGTTGATGTTGTTGACGCGACTGTGGTGGCTGGGTGCGGCCACAAGAACAAATCCTTCGAACATTGGGACTAACGTCTCACTCCGTCTCCTCTTCGTCTATTTAGCATGTACTGCTCATTTTCAGTTTCAGTTAATAATTGCTTCATCCAGTGGTCAATGGGTTTAATGATTTAGCAAAAAAAAAAAAAAAAAAAAACAAAAAAAAAAAACAATAATTAAATCAGGATTGATTTACACACACTTGTTGTTCACATATGAAAACTTGTTGTCTATAAACACCCATCAAACATCACTTGTCACCTTCTGCGTCAGCGTAATCAGTCAACACTTTGATGGTGCTTTCGTCGCTTGTCAGTAAGCACAGGACTTGCGTCATTTTCAGCTACCGCGCATAATTATTGTAATCGCTGGTAAGATTTCGAAGTGAGACAAAGCAAAACATCAACTCAACCGCAGTTATGATAGAAGGCGATATGAGGAATTACAATAAATGCGATTAAATCTTAATTTTACACCCAAATTCATACGCTCTCTTCTCACCTCAGTCCGAAGGATCTCCTCGTGGGATAATCGATTTCATGCCGGTTTTGGTGAGGACGGAGACGATAGTGTGATACATGCCACCCCCGGTAATACTCACTCACTGCTCATACTCATGTACATTCGTATGTATTTGTTTTTGTAAGCATAGAGAACAGTCGGTGATTGATGACGTCTCGAATAAGCTATGATTGATGCTCGTGCGTTCAGCCACACTCCCAATCGCAAATTGTGCAGCAGATAAACCGGTGGTGCTTACCCATCACTGCTAAAATATTTGCAGCAACAACAAGAGTAACAAAATATTTCTATATGTATATAAGTATGTATATAAGTATGTATATAAGTATGTATTCATATACTTTGCCCAGAGCGTTTACTTTTGGCTGTAAAGAAAAGTCTCGAGGTGGCTTCTGATAAAAAGCTACAGTTTCCGATGGCGTCCACATACTTATAAGAAATACATACGTACTTACTCAGAACTTGCATGTAAGCTAATGCAGTCTTTAGCAAAAGAACAAGCATTAGGACATCGAGGAAGCATGGTTTTCCAAGCGATGTAAATATTTCCCTTGCGCTGTTTAACATCAATTGGAGATACTTGGTGGAAGCCAGCTTCCTTTACGCTGCATCTTTCCACCAGAGTAGCGATCTTCTTCTTGCTCCAGCGAATACTACGCCAAAGCTTTTCAAATAAGTATTTCCGGACATCCCCAGCGGGGGTAGCAAAAATAAATGTTTGACCCTCGCACGGGACAGAGAGATCTGAGTTTCGTGGCCAACAATTTAAGCGCCTCCTCGATCAATAATTCCATATTTTGCACAAAAAGCTTCTAGCTTTCGTCAAGTTTCACAGGAGGAACTGAAAATGAATGCAAAGGTCAATGAGCAGCCAAATTCGGTTTTGATTACTTCATGCAGCTTCGTTTCTTACTATCTCCCGCCAACTTACTCTGCGCCACCAACAACTGTGGTATTTGCCATATTCGCCAAGTTGTGTTTGGATTTTTCGTGAAAAACCTAGGCCTGATTGCGATTGACATATTTCGGCGGCGCAGCAAACAACTAAATTGAATGCTTTTGCACAATTTCAATTGAATTCAGTTCTAGGCAAAGTCATGGCGAGGCGTCACCAACGAGCCGTGTATTCAAATAATTCTAAAAATAAATGGAATGCGGTTCCCATCACCAACAGCATCCAAACGCTTTATCCTCTTTTGTGGTTTTCTTTTCTCGCCTGTCGATTATTTACCTTTTCAATTGCTTTGCTTTTCAGCGCCTCTGTCTGACAAGTCCAATTTCGAGCTCTGCTTTATTTCGCATTCGACTTGTGTCCCAGCCACAACTACGGGGCACAATTACGCGCCGAAAAGTAATTGCAATTTCCAATTTGATGCGCATTCGGTGCGGAAACTTAAGGAAATCCAATTGCATTAAATTACTCGCGCAGAGCAGCCGTTGAAGCACGATGCAAAAAGAGTATGGTATGACTTTGGTGATGCTGGCTTGGACGCAAGAGGGGGCGCAACCAAGACAGCATTGTCCAATACATTTAAAGCTACGATATCGACAATATCTTCGAGTCTACAATGAATGACGCACACGTTGTGCGAAGATTGCTGATCGTGACACTTGATTGTTAACCGGTTTGTCGCAGACCACAGCGCACCAGCGTCGCACGCAGGGACTAGGCAAGCGCGGATTCACGATTCGCCGTGATTTATAGATTGATCGCAATGATTCGATAATTCAAACCAATGTTGGGATCAAACAAAGGGAAAAATTGCTAAACACGATTTTACGATAAGCGTAAGGTTTACGAATACACATGCACAAATGTAAGAAATCTCGTAGTCGATTCACATTCGTGCGGGATGTGCCATTAGCCGGCTGAAGTACGCGTGTGTTTTATTTCTTGCGTTGCTTAGGTTTTCCTCATTCTAATCAAACACACATTACGGTGTTGGATGGGCTTGGCAGTTTTCTTAATTTTCTCGACAAGTCTTGGCAACTTTAAGACACGGCGGAATCGTGCTGGTCGCAAACCCCAAAGCAGCATATGAGCGATACTTAAATAAAGAAATTCATTCATGCGAAATCTCATCAACCATCACCAAACCGTCTCTGGGGTTTCTTCTTTCAATCAGCATTTCACACAACATCGTCTTTCGTTGTTGTTCTCCTCAAGCCAATTATGCAAAATGTGTTAATGGTTAGCGGCGGATGAAATGGGATTTAGATTTGTAAGAAAAGAGACGTTCAGCGGTATTGCATTCAAATTAAACAAACGAGGGCATAATTAATTTCAAATGTTCAAAAGTTCGCGTCCAATTCGAAAAAGAAGTCTGATGGTGAAAACGTGGTGGTTCCCTTACGGAAACCAAAAAATATATGCTCTGAGTCAACTCAAAGAA